ATTGGTACCCTGCAGTGACATCCCAACTGGACCATTTCTACTAAGAGCTCCTTCCTCGGGTTCTTGCTTTCTAGCTTTTCATGGCTGCCTTCTTCCTGCCTCCTTCTAAGCCCTGAACTCCAATCTTCCTGTGCATTCTGGGGTCCAATCCTACTAATAAAGCCTCTTCTATGGGGTGAGCAGAGACTGTGTTTGTTGATGGTATCAAACAGATGAATAAAACCCTAATAGTCCATCCCCATCACTGGCTTGCTGTGTGAGACCCTGAGAAAATCCTCTAACCTCTTTGGGTAACAATCTCTTCATCACAAAATGATGGCTTATTCTTTAAGTGTGACCGTTCTGAACAATTTTAAAATTCTGATCACTTACCGAAAGCCCTTTTGTACCAAATAGGCTCTAATGAACATCAAGATCTGCATTCAGGTTTTAGAGGCAAGAGTGGGATGTAAAAGCTCCATTAGGAAAGACAACGGAAGCATTGGGGTGCAGCTGCTAGGGCATTCCTTAGACAATTAAGCCTAGGTAGATGCCAATCAGAATCCACCGAGCGCCAGAATGCAATGTTTTCATTAGCAAAGAGTCTTCTGGCCATCATTTCCAGGGTCCACTTAAACTGCTATGATTTCAACTGTTCTTGGATCTAAGACCTCTTAATTACTCCATTGTAAAAGATGTTTTTAGGGGGCATTTGTTTTCCATCTGAATGCCTCTTTTGCAGCAAAACTTCAGCATAAAGGGACGAGACCTCTGTAAACTCAGTCCACACATTCAAGGAAAAAAAAATATTTTCTTAGAACAGCAAAGTGGCCCCAGTTTGGCCTTATGTTCTAGCAAAAGCTCATTGCTTAGCTGCATTTAATAATCCATGAAACATTTCTATTAACTTTAGTGTGTATGAATTGTGTGACTGCAAAATGGGTAAAATAAAATTTTTTAAAAAAAGTGAGAGAGAAGCAGGAATACAAAATATGCAGACAATGAAAATAAGTGAGATCTTAAATATTTGATCAAGGCCTTCCCTTTTCAGGTAGCCAGTTACCATCTTGGGCTCTGGAATGCCAACAGAAGCCACGGAACACCATTCTGAATTATTAAAATGACAAGGGGAACCTTTTTTCTTTTTACTACTTTTAAAAAAGCGTGTAGCCTTTCAAGCTAACCTTTACTTAAATATTTAACACAGACACGGGGTCAAATATAAAATAGCAAAATTTCTCAGTCAAATACTCAACCTGTAATTATGAATCGGTTTAGATAATGCAGCCCAGCCAAACAAACTCCCTTTGGTCTTTTTCTGTGTTCTAACAATTCTTTCCGGAGTGAGGAATCCAGCCTAGCTTACTTGAAAGCTTGCATCCTAGAATGCTTTTAATCTATGTATTCACTGTTTTTTTTATTCACTCAATTCAGTTCTTTCACTTGTTTTTTTTTTTTTTCATTCATTCGACAAATATTTTTTGAATACCCACCAGCAGCCCGGCACTCATCTGGATGTGGAGATACATCCAGAAATAAAATATATTAGAAAGACTCAGCTCCTTTGGACCTTACGCTTAAGTGAGGGAGACAGACAATAAATAAAAATATACTCCAATAACAAATAAGAAGTACTCTAAAAGGGGTGGTGTGTGGGAGTGCGTCTTTGGTTTTTGGCAGGTGGAGTTTCAGAAGGCTGATGAACTGGGCAAGCTGCCTTGAGACTGAGGGGATGTGTCCTGTCAGTGAGGGACAACAGCTACACAATTCTGGGGTACAAGAATGCCCAGGGCATCTGTTATGGCTTGGAGATGAGGTGTCCTCCAGAGCGCCTATTAATGCAGGAAATTTCCAGAGGTAAAATGATGGGATTATAAGAGGTGAACCCTAATTGGTCCATCCTAGCTTAAATGGTTTTTGGCAGGTGGGGTTTCAGAAGTGGGTGGTAGAGGTAGGTCACAGGGAACATGCCTGGCAGGGTGCATTTTCCCTGCTGCCTCTCCCTCCATCTCTCTTTGCCCACCAGGAATGGAGCAGCTTCTCCTCCAGGGCCATCCATCATGAAGTTCTGCCTCATCTGGGGCCCAGAGCAAGGGACTTGGCCAACCATGAACTCAACCCCTAAAACTGTGGGTCAAAATAAACCTTTCCTGTTCTAAGTTGTTCTTGTCAGGTATTTTGAACACAGCAATGAAAAACTGGCTAAAACAGAATCCAAGGGAGGACAGTAAAATCTAGAACAGAGGTAAGGACTAGGTGATGCTGGGAGAACTTGTCAAGGCAAAACACACGAGGGCCCAGCCAGCCATGGGGCCAACTTGAGATTTTTAAGCTTATTATGGTGGAAGCCACTGGAGGCTTTTGAGTGGGGAAGTATTGCAAACCAATTCATGTTGGAAAAAGTCACTTTGGTCCAATGGTAGTGGAGGCCTGCTGTAGGAGAAAGACTCGGTTTGAGCATTGCCTGTTCACCACCTTCCAAAGTACTCCCAGTGATTGAGAAGTTTGCCCAGTGGTCATTTTAAAAGCCCACCAGTTTCCTTTTTCACTTTTTATTTCCAACCAGGCAAACCCTGCTCTTTCTGAGGGAGAGCTCAGAAGTCAAGGTTAGAATGGGTGCATCTAAAGGCAGAGGTATATCCAGAGTACGGTACATTACCGCACACCCAAGAAGAGCCTATTTTCCAGAAGGTTCTCAGAACACAGCTTAAACCTGTGACTCCCAGTTGCACACTGATTGCTGCCCAGTGTTCTCTCACTGAGACATTAAGTGACACAAGGAGACTTCAGGATAATGTTATATTATAGCTTGAACTCCTTTTTATGCCTAGAAATAAGCTATTATAAATATTCAAAATCATGAGCAAATCTGTAAGTTCCAGTTTTCCCCCTTAGAGACCTGCTTCCTGCAGACTTTTCTTGGATGGGATAAGTTAAGGTGTGTTCTTTATACTGCTTTCTAGAACATTCCCATGGGATTAGGCGCCTACCTATTACTATGGTGGTTTTTCCATGCCTTCTTCTTTGGACTGCCTTTCATGTCCTGCGTTACACTTCAATTCTCCTCTTGGGATTTCTGCACCTCTCAAATAAACTACTTGCACGTGACTACTTGTCTTGAGAGATCTGCTTCTGGGGGACTCGATCTCACCCATCTTCTATATAAAGTCCTTCTCCTTCCTCAGAGCCATCACCTAGGCACTTTCCTTAAGTATAAAGGCAAATAGGATTCAGGAGAAATTAAACTTACTAATAAGGGAGAGGACCAAAAATTCCAACCCCATCATACCTAGGATCCAGTTGCTGCCTGTGATTGTAAGCAAAGAACATTGCTCACATGTAGGTATCTTCCCTTCTGAAAGTTAGGAGCCAGGTGTCTCCAGAATAGATTTCTCAGTCACCTTTTCTCTCCCACCCTGGTTAGGTAAAGTTTGGCTGTTAGATGAGGTTCCTATCTCCTATAATAAGTGGTCACTATCTCTTGCCCAGGAAGCCAGGCTCCCTTCTAGAGCAAGCCTTGGTCTTCACTAGCCCAGGAAAGAAAGCTTTGATTCATGGAGACTCATTGCCCAGTCTTTCCCTCCCTGGCCTAGGGTCCTGACTCATAATGACCTGGCCTCTGATTTTAATCTGAGAGCTCCTACCAATCCATCATGCCACAGGCTATATAGAGATGCTTAGAAATGCCCAAGCTCTCATGGCGCTCCTGCCATGCTGGGACATATAAACTGACTTAATAAAGAAGAACCAAAGATTATTATGCTTGTATACTTAGATGTTAAGCTACTTAATTCTCCCCCAAAGCTAGTTGCGGGGGAGGATTCAATAACAGTGAATGAAACTGAGGATTGGAAAGGTAAAGCGACTTGCCCCAATTCATCAGGTGGGAGAGAGGGACCCACAAGGCATGGGCACTGCATCTTCAGCCTGAGTGGGAAGCATCTTCCTCTGGGTACTTACTGGGTGATAGATTGGTGCTCCCTGTGCTGGGGGATCACTGTTCCTGCCCAACTAACCTCATGAGAACACTCTGAGGATCTGGTGACAAGAGAGTCAGGACCTACAGTGAGCTTCCAGAAGTATTTCCCATCTTCAGGTGAGGGCCTGGCATTGTAGTTAGGAATACAAACCTTGACATCATCCTTGATGTTTTGTTTTTTTTTGAACAGTCCAATTCACTCCTTTAGGAATCTGATTGGCAGAAACTGGTGAGTCTTGACCTTCCAGACCCTCGCAGCAAGTCCCTTGTGAGTGCCAGGAGTTTTGGAGGGTTTGAGGGTGGGGAGCAGAGAGGCCAGACTGCATTAGGGAAGCAAATTAGAGACCCATATTACCTAAGGAGATCTGAGAGGCTTAGGACCTGAATCTCCCAGGCCCCAGGCTTTTGAGGTCAATTCTTTTTTTCATTCTAAATAAATTTTCCCTTGCTGGTCCTAGCTCTGTATTTTTTTTTTTTCCCTAAAACTGCCCTTCTCCATCCCCCACAATTGTGTAAGCTCAGGCCCCAGAAAACCTTCATGCACTCCTGGTTTGAGGTTTCAGCCCTCAGAGGGCAGGGCTGGGGAAGAGAGGTGTAAATTTGTCAGGAGAAGGAAGCAGGGGCGCAGTAAGAGAGTAAATTCTCATCTAACATGGCAGAAAGTCAATAGATAAATCAAGAAATCGCTATGTAAGCTTATTTTTTTTAGCGACAAGGGGTGACCACCAGAAGAACTAAACGACGAAGGAAATGATACAAAGGGTTGTGGGTGAGAAGCAAGGGCGAGAGGCCTGTTGCTTCCATTAGGAGCACATTACAGGCAATCATTTTATTTTGTAAAAAGTGCTCATGCATACTTTGATATACTTTGTAATTCAGCCCTAAAAAAAAAAAAAGAAAGTAAAGTGAAAATGAGAAAGAAATGGAATACAAAATATAGGAAAATAAAAAGCAAAACTCAGGTTGGGATTCTGGGCAGGAGCACGAGGGAGGGTGGGGGTAGTGGGCGTGGCTTGGGTAAGGGGCGGGGCGGGTGGGCCCTTGTCCCCTAGGAGCCACCCTCCGGGAGGGAGCCTGCGGCCCAGCAGCTGCGTACACACTCCGCCCACAGCGGGGAGCTCAGGGAGCGCAAGGTCAAGTGCGCGTAGACCCCGCCCCCCCAGCGTGGGGGCGGGGAGGGCTAGCCCAGGACAGTTGGTCCCAGCCCCTGGACAGTACGGGCCCCGAGGCGGCCCTGCGTTGGGACACCAGGAGCGATCCCTACCGACCTGTCCTCCAGCGCGGGCCCAAGTTCAGCCCGACAGATCCCCAGTCCCTGTCGCTGCGGGTGCCACTGCGGAGCCTCGCGACTCGCAGGTAAGAAGAGCCAGGGGCCCTGGCCCCGCCCGCCTGCCTATGCCAATGTGGGCGCCCTCAAGGACCTGGATCCCGGTGAGACACCTGGGCCCACGTGACTCCCGTTGGCGGCGGAGACTTGGGCGCCAGGTGGCGGCGGAGCTGCGGATTCCTGTAGCCCAGCACAGTTCCGTCCCTGCTTCCCAAACTGCCGGTTCTCGCTGCGTCCACCTGCGCCTCCACCCCCCTCCGTTACCCGTTTGACTCCCACCTCGGCTGGCAGACCACCTTCTGCACTCGTGCACGCAACTATGTAAAATGATATCCACTCATCTTCTTCGTGTGCTGCTCAGTGCTCACCTGCCACTGGACCAAGTACTGGGGTCACAGTGATGGGCTGGCAAATGTGGTGCAGGCCGCGTGAAGGGCCGTGCAGGGGAGCGACCTACACGAATAGATAACACACACACACACACACACACACACACACACACAGGTGTAAAAGAGCCAGGAAGGAGAATTCCAGGGTGCTGGAGAATGTTTATCAGGGCCCCAACTGCAGAGGCTGCTGGAAGCCAAACTTTCATGGGAATCAGAGTTCCAGGGTGGAAAACAAGGGAGCAGGCATGTCTTGTTGGGAGAGAGTGTGACTTGTTTGAGGAAGGGAGTCAGAGGGACTGGCCTGCAGAGAGCTGGGGGTGGGGGAAGCATGCTCCTTAACCTTGACTTCTTCCTGTGTAAATGGGACTGTCCCTACTTACTGCAGATGAAAGCCCTGGGTATACATGAAGGTGCCCTTCTAGGGGAGCAGTCAGGAGAGCAAAGTGGAGGTGTGCTGCAGGGACTCTGGTTGCTCTCTAGGACTGCAACTCAAGGTCTCCTCTGTCAAGTGAGAGGTTCCAGTAGAATCTCTTAGGCAGCCTGCTCTCTAAGATGAGGTCTGGTTTAGCCATTCATTCTTCAAACATATAACTGGTGTCCACCTTCCCTTGCTCTGAGGATTCTGAGAAATCAGACAGAGGCACTGTCCACAAAGTGACAGTTCCAGCCTGATCATACCCAGAGCTAGGGGTCTGACCCTCTGACCCACCTGGGGCACTGCCAGTTGCATGAGTCCCGGGACTTGGGGCTCACACTTTACCATCAGGTGTCAGTTGCTTCGTGACTATCACTGGTGACTCTTAGCTCTTGGTGTCACCATCTACACCTGGTCAGAAGACTCCCCAGGAAAAGCAACTCTGCTGGTCCCTTGCTGAGGACCCTCAGACTTTGAGACCCCCATGAATTTGGGAGACCCCTTTGGGCTTCAGGATTCACCTGTTAGTCACTTGGTGTGTTTTATGGGCTTGAATAATCCCAGGGTCTCCTATGGGTCTGTTGGTATAGAGGTAGGATTTGCTCCATGGAAACCGACTGGGAGGCCCATGGAGGGGGGGACACAGTCCAGGGAGGAACCTGGCACCATTCGTGGGGAGTGATCAAAACCACAGGACAGATGTTAACAAAAGGGTGTTGGAGGGAGAGGAAGAGATGGCAGCCCTGGTGCAGCCCTCTGTTTTCTCTCAAAGACCACAGCTCCCTGTTAAAGAGAGAAGGGAAGCTCAAGTCTTGGTGGTCACAGACCTGGCAACTCTGTCCCTGACCCTGGGCTATCACTTATCTCCTGAAGTGTGAGGACAGTGAGAGCTAAACAGATGCTTGGCATATCATTGTCTCTGAAGAAACATTAACTCTCGACCTCTCCTTCCCCTGTATGAACTAAAATAGGAGTTAATAACAGCACCTACCTTAGTGCATTATCCTGGAGATTGTGTGGATACCTAAAATACACTGAGCCTGCCTGACTTGTGGAGGATACTACTCTGCTGCAGCTATTGTTATGCCTTGTTCTGGGTTAACATCCTGGGTGGAACTAAGCAGCAGGAGGGTTGGGGGCAGGGCAGGGACTTAGGGGACTGGGCAGGGTGATTAGAGGGGTAGTTGGATTATCTTGTGTAGTGGTGGTTTCCCCAGAAGCACAGGCCTCCATGTGAGAGGGATGTTCTGCATGATAAAGGGCCTGGGGGAAGCTTTTGTCAAACCTCAGTGGTCCAGCCTATGAAGACTCAGGCCAGAAAAATAGCACAAGGTGGTGGTGGTTGCGGGGAGAACTAGGATTGGAAGAGAGTCTAAATGGTCTTTTTTAATGTTGCCTTTAACACATGGCCCTATACAGGTCCCCTTCAGGGGGCTACCTTCCTTTGCTCTGTGCTGAGCTCCACCAACCAAATGGGTATGGGAATTGTCTGGGGTTGTCTGGATCTCTGTGGAAACCAATTTTTTAACCCCCCGTACCTGGCAGAGTATCATGTCCAAAATTGCATGAACAAAAGAATGAATAAAAGAAAATAAGCCCAGAGACAAACTTTTTTGCTATATACACATGTGTTTTTTAAAATGGAACCTGTAGCCCGAGAAAGATAACTATTGTTTGTTGTTGTTGTTGTTGTTGTTTTGCTGAGGACCAAGCATGTTCATGCATGTGGCAGCTTCGTGATGAACATGAAGCTTTGTGGTCAGATGATGTTACTGCTGTCACCTCCCATGCATCACAGAAGCTCACCAAACCTAAGCTTTTGCATCTGTAAAATGGGGTTCTTTGAACCTAACTCAGCATTATGCAAGTTAACTACATGAAGCTCTGACCTCAGTGCCCACAGGCAGTATGGCAAGCCCTGAGTCTATAATAGCTGGTGTTATTTTTTATTATATTTATTATTTCCCTCATGATCACCAGTATAATGAGGAACCACAGACATAGGTGTGTGGCACTAATTTGGGACTCAGAATCATATGGTAGCAAAGGTACTTTGGAAACAATAACCAGACAGTTTGTATGAAATGCAGTGAATTCTTGTGTGTTTCATTCATTACTTAAAGCACTTGACTGTGAGATCTTAAAAGGAAAAAAAAATTCCTGGAAAATTATAATTTATGTGCCTTTCAAGTTCAGGTATTTTATCATCTAGATAAATCTTCCAGGCATCTATGTTAAACCACTTTGAGCTGTCGAAGCTCTAAAATAAAGTGGCTTGTTCTGACCAGTGTCTGTCTGTGATTGTTTATCATAGTTCCCTGGTAACGATGGACAGATCCCATTTTACAGGGCAGGCCTCAGGACAGCAGCTCCTGCCCACTCTTTTAGCCTTGCAGTTCCACACGATGGTGTTGAACAAACCACATTGGACTCACAATTCCCTCGTTATTGCCTCTGTCACGTGCACATAACCCATGTGCCAGTTTAGAAATTAAAATAGCAAAGGATTCTTTGTGTGTGTGTGTCGGTGGGTGCATGCATGCTGAGGATGGAACCCAGGGCCTCATGCAAGTGCTCCACCAATGAGCTACATCCCCAACCCTAGAAGAGCAAGGCAACAGTTGCTAGTGTGAATCTGGAAATCAGCTCTGGAGCTGATGGGTTTGTGAATGAAGAGTGCTTTGCATGAGGATGATAGCATCTTCTGCAAGCCTGAGCTGTCTGCTCTGGCTTCACAGGGGTGCTCTCTCTTCCCTGACCCCTTGCCCAGGGGAGGCCTGACGTCTTCCTGCTCCCCACTGCCTCTGCCTCTGGCCAGAGCTGCCCCTCCACCCATAGTCCCTGGGCAGCTGCAGCCTGTGGCAGGAAAGCCTTCCTAGGGCGGCTCCTCTGCCTTCCCAGGTAACTGTGGGCACCTCTGCTGCATGCCCCTCTCCAGTTGCCCGAATCCTCCTCTGCAGAGCTGGGAGCACTTCCACAGCTATCCAGGGGTCCTGCACCTGGTGTTGTGCCTGGCCCATCATCAGATCTCTCCTCCTTCCTTTCTTCCTTCTTTTCTACAAATGTTTCAGGCAGTGTCCTGGGGATTTGAATAAGCAGTTAAGAGGACACAGTCCTGACCCTCGTGAAGCCCACACACATCATGAGATGGATTTAATGAAAACAGAATTAAGTACATAAATATCCACAGCGACCCATCATAAACCGGGTCAGCTGCGGTGAAGGAGGGGCCTCTGGTGCCACGACTATGTGTGGAAGTGGGTCAGGGACAGCCAGTGTGGACATGGGTTCAGCAAGCCCATAGGTGTCCATTGGAAAGTCATATTCATTTATTCACATGCCTTTAAAGACTGTTGTGTGTATTTTCTAAAATTCTGGTAAACAGTGTTTTGTGCTGTGGGTAATCCTACTGAGAATGTGTGTTTTTTCCTTGTAATTATTTTTTATTTATATATGACAGTGGAATGCATTATAATTCTTATTACACACATAGAGCACAATTTTTCGTATCTCTGGTTGTTTACAAAGTATATTCACACCAATTCATGTCTTCATACCTGTACTTCAGATAATAATGTCCATCGCATTCCACCATCATTTCTAACCCCCTGTCTCCTCCCTTTCTAGAGTCCTCTGCCCTATCTAGAGTTCTTCTATTCCTCCCATCCTCCTTCTTTCTACCCCACTATGATTCAGCCTCCTTATTATCAGAGAAAATATTCAGCATTTGGTTTTTTGGGATTTGCTAACTTCACTTAGCATTATCTTCTCTAACTCCATCCATTTACCTGCAAATGCCGTGATGTTATTCTCTTTTATTGCTGAGTAAAATTCCATTATGTATATATGCCACATTTTTTTAATCCATTCATCTATTGAAGGGCATCTAGGTTGGTTCCACAATTTAGCTATTGTGAGTTGTGCTGCTATAAACATTGATGTGGCTGTGTCCCTGTAGTGTGCTATTTTTAAGTCCTTTGATTAAGGGATAGCTGGGTCAAATGGTGATTCCATTCCCAATTTTCCTAGAAATCTCTATACTGCTTTCCATGTTGGCTGCACCATCTGCAGTCCACCAGCAGTATATGAGTGTACCTTTTCCTCCACATCCTCGCCAACACTTATTGTTGTTTGCCTTCATAATAGCTGCCATTCTGACTGGAGTGAGATGAAATATTAGAGTAGTTTGATTTGCATTTCTCTAATTGTGAGCGATGATGAACAT